CACACACACACACACACACACACACACACACACACACACACACACACGAGCCCTCTGCACAACCGGGAAGCGTCCCATCATGCATTATTAACAAGAGATAAACTATCCATTTCCAATTCAACTGAGTGGTTGGTGGTTCGTCCTTGAGAAGCCACCAGGGATCTTAAAAGGGTGCTTTCCCTTCTTTGTTTGAATCTCTCACACAGAGTTTACAGGCCACCACACAGTGAAGTCCTTTTGTTCAGAGTTAATATCTCACCTGTTGTCCAATGGGTTTGTATTTGATTCATTTTGTGATATTTCCCTGCCTTTGCTTGAATGAATGAATGAATGAATACTACTACCTCATCGGCCTATAATAATCTGTTGAGAAGGAAAAAAAAAAAATCACTTTTTGGTTTAACTGAGTCCATTTTATATAGGGGGGTCACATGCAGATATGGCTTCGTTTTAAGGGGGTCACAAGACCCCCCCCCCCCAAAAAAAATGTTAGGAACCTCTGGTTTAAAGTATTTATTTGGAGAGGAAGAGTCATAAGATCAGCCAACATCCTGGTCTAAATCAAAAAAAAAAAATGAGACCGTGCAGGCAGGTTGCAGGACATCTCTTCCCCTCGTACTTACTTGTGTGGAGTCGTTCGCCATCGCTGTCCCCGTTGCTCTGTTGTCAGCCAGTTTTGCAGTTTCACAGACAGCCTGCGCACATGTGGGAGTTGTACCTCACGTCAACGTATCGTCTCCTTCCCAAGACAATTAAAAACATAAGATGACGCAGGTGGCGTCTCAAACTTTATACAAACAGTCTGTATTGACACAAAGGCAAAATAGTCCAGGGGTAATCCGCATTGTTGGCTTGCCTGTCCGCGCCTGAATCGTTCCTCCCTCCGCCGTGTTTAACCAACGTTAGCTCGCGCTTCACACAAATAAAATTGCGTTCGCTGTCCGCACGTTTTTACAAAAACAAAAAAACCTAAACAACACCAGACGTTCGCATAACAGCATCCAAACAAAACTACGAGGCTCAACAGTCATTGTTCATCTCGCCATTCAACAGCTAGCAAAGAGCCCCGTAACATCCACCGGCGGCGCTCCTCCGTCGTGTCCTGCTGAACCCGAGCCGAGATAAAGTCACATCCACGGGCAACGCGGAATGAAAGAAAGCCCCTTCTCGGCTCTCTTCTTTTCCCGGGAACATCTGCGGAACGTGGACACGCCTCGGTCTCTTGTCTCTTATCACATGCCACACAGCAAACAAAAAAAAGCCGCCTGTCAGTCCTTCACCAGCAGCTCATACAGTCTACACGAGGGACAATAGAGCGCTACTCTGCCCGCTTAATATCCCGCTATCTTACGTCAAAAACTCGCAAACATGATTAAAAATGAGTTCTTCGTTACGGTACACGGAATGCGTGAAGGCAACATCTCACGCGGCGGGTCACTGAGAGCTACACAAACCACTTGTACGTTATAACCTGCTGCGCGCTCCCGACGCTCGAGCAATGCCGCCCGGGTGTTCATTGGTCCAGGGTTGGGCGCGGGGACGCGCCCGGAGGTATCACGTGACCTGCACTAGTCATCTTTGTCAACTGTAACTTCTTATGAACCTAACTGTTGAACATGTGTAGCATAATGTTAAGTCTGACACGTAGGGAGAACAACACAGTGCTGGAAGGGTTATTCAGATCTTTTAACTTGCCTTAAAAGTACTTATTATGCAGATTTTAGAATAATACATCTTATATATTTCTTTTTTCTTACTGAATTACAATTAGTGATGCATGTGTACATCACTGTGATGTTGCAGCATGTAAAGGTGGGGTTAGTTTTAATTACGTATTACTTTCATCTGCAAAGTAACTAATTAAAGCTATAGAAAAAAGGCTGTGGGGAAAAAACATATTTGCTACTGTAAATGAAGTGGAATGGAAGTATTAAGTGGTATAACATGGAAATGCTGGAGTAAAATACAAGTTAAGGACAATTATGCATTAGTAGTACTTAAGTAAATGTTTTAAGTTACATTCCACCCCTAAGAACAACACAGTAATGCATTCAAGGGTGGAGGAAGTACTCAGATCCTAATAGGAGTAATACCATGGTGCTGAGTTAGGCCTGAATTCAAAACTTTATTGAAGTAAAAGTAAATAAGTATGATCATCAAAATCGACTTAAATTACCAATACATTTAGAAATTGAAAAAATACACATGACAGGAGTGTATTTAGTATTTTATATAGTCTCACTCCTCACTGGTGAAAATTGAAGAAAGAAAACGTACTTACTGTACAGCTGTGCTTCAAGCTAAATGCTAACATCCACATGCTAACATGCTCACAATGAAAACACTAAGCAGGTGTAATGTTCATCATGTTCATCATCTTCGTTTAGCATGTTAGCATGCTCAAGCACAGCTGGGGCTGTTGAAAAAGTCATTCATTTTGCAGCTATATGGTCATAAGGCAATGTGTTGGACAAACTTCCCCTGGGGATGTTCTGACACTTTCACACGATTATCTGTAAAGGTTGAGCTGACTTAAGATGCCAACCACAGTTATATTCATACTGTGCTCTATTTGTATTCTGGGCTTTTAATCAACAAAAGCCTATATAGCAGAGCCGCTTTAAGTTTCATGGAGCAGGTCCAAGTCTCAAGTCAGTTTAGACGAGTCCAAATCAAATGCCAAGTCTTGTAATGGCAATCATACATTTATACTGTGCTTGATGGTGGAAATACAAAGAACCGCAGCAAGAGACAAAAAGCTCATAATAGGGTTAGGTTAGGGGATGTGTCGGAGGCGTGAGTGGATGTCTTTTGTAGAAGTTTGCATAATTGATTTGCATCATGAAAATTAGCCGGCAGAAAGATAGGAAGGACGTAGGAACAGAGAGTGACCTCAATGTTGCAGGATACACACTAGATATCCTAAAATATACATGACATGATCATCTGTGCCATGCGAACTGATCCGAGTCTGATTGAGTATGATTCAACTCAAAAGCAAGGACAATGACATTTTGGAAATATTACAAATGTATCCACACAGATTGGTTCAATGTGTGATTGTCAAGTGTTGAGAAGCTATTAATGATTCATGATAGAGTGACCATGGATAACCTCCCTGTCCTGTTGTCCTTTATTGGTTACAAAAAAACTAAAAAAATAAGCTGATTGAACAGTCTCAATAACATGTGTAATAAAACATGTTGTATGTTGTACTATGCAAATGTTTGTATTGTTATAAGAAAGTAATGTACAATTTGGTTTGTGAGAATGGTGTTCAACCTACAGTTATGTAAAATAATAGAGAAAACAGGAAACCCCGACATTTTAGAAGCAACTTTTTCTGACAAGTGGTTGAGCTAGCATAATCGGTTCAGCTCTAAAGAAACTTTAATGTAGACCTCAAACACAAGCAAACATTAAACAAATGTAATACATTTAAAAAGCCTTGTTTTATTATTTCTTGCTGAGACGCATTGACCTTTGACCTTTCACACCCCACAAGACACGATTTTGACAGTGTTGACTGTGGTCAGAAGTTATCAGGTAGCTTAACCGCTAGCTAGGTAGCTATATATACCTATATATATATATATATATATATATAGTCAACAGACTGCTGCGATTAGCTATTTAATGATCTCGTGAATTGCTTTCAGTTATAACCCAAACTAGCTGACTGTTACACAGTCGTTATCTCGGGTTGTTGCTTTCTTAAATCTCGGGTGAATCGCTAGCATCGCGACAGTTAGCTAGCTCGCTAGCATTAGCATTCATTTTGTGAGAGATAACGGTTGTGTCGCAGTTGACAAACGGTTCGCAGGTCATTCAGCTCAGGTTACTCTTAAACATTCAGTTAATTTCGCGTTTTATTTTCAACAGGTTTCCTAATAAAGAACCACTTATCAACAACAGAAAGCATGGCCGACACTGAAGTTCAGTTCATGGACCCGCTCGCCTCTCACTCTCCGTCGGGACAACAGAAGCAGGTGAGAGGGGAGAGGGAGCCAGACTGCACGGAGAGTCTTCAGAACACCGGACAAGGAGGTCAGACACTAACGCCCGCATGTTTTCAGAATATAGACGTGTTATTTTTTTAAATTTAAATATGGGAATAGTGGAGTAGAGATGGAGACAGTATGAGGCTATTAACGATGTTCATTCATTTGCCTTGCAGAGGTGGAGGAGCCGCTGCTGTCGTCCTCGGCTGTCGTTGCTCAGGCGCCACCTTGCGGTGATCGAGCGGCCTGCAGCTGCCTGGGGGCCAGATGGATGGAGAGGAGCCTCGAGTCCATGGAGCTGCAGCTCCAGCTCCTCACCAGCAAAGCGGATGACTTGCACAACTGGGTTGCCAGCGGGTAGGGTCCTGGCTATTCGTAATGCTCTAATTTTATGTGCATTTCTGCTATTCTATGATCCCTTTTGTGTGTTTTTGCAGACAGGATCACTTCGAGAGAGAGGCTCTTGCTGAGGCAGTGTCACGCTTCCTGTACAACTGTCAGCCTTACTTTAACCACCTGGAATACTTACGCTCCCATAAGTCCCAGCACACCCTTCTGCCTCTCGACAGCTACACATGGGTTGGTTCACCCTACATATTTAAAGACACATTTGTAGCACACGGATGTTGAAAGAGTTCCTGAAATAAATCCTTCAATGGGCTGAGGTTTTAGACTTTTGTCATTTCTAAAAAGTGAGATTTTGCCCAAATTTAGGGAAAATCTAACTGGTCTAGAAACCATTTCAGTCTCATGTAAAAGGCAATCCTCAGAACTTTTGAACTTCCTGCATGTTTTTCTTTTATTGTGGATGATTGTGTATTTTATTAGCCAGATTGTCTGGATTTGTTGTTTGTTCAAACTCTCTCTCAAAAGTGGTTGAGCGGCATCCTGGGAATTGCTAAATAAGGCTTTTGGATTATCACCTCAGTAATGACCATGATCACACAAAAACGTGGGGGGCATATGGTATGTGTTACTGAATGAGAAGGACATTTGTGTTCACTGAATGAAAACATAGTTTAACAGCCACAAGTTGAGGTAAACCTCCATTGTGTGTGTGTGTGTGTGTGTGTGCAGCTGTTGGACTTCTCTCAGCAGCTGTGTGACAGGTTGGAGCAACTGGTGTTGACCTACGCCAGCTATAATCTCCTCTGTTTGGACGAGACCAACCCTAACAGGTATAAACTCGCACACACAGAGAGAACACAATGCTGTTAAAACATGTTTACTCGTTTCCACATGTGACAGTAGCACAAAAACATGACAGGAAGTCTTCATGTGGTAGTTCAGACGTGCATTTATGCAGTCAGTTACACCCAATTATCCCATATTTAAACAGTTAATTTAATCAAGCAGCGTATTGTTTCATGTAACTTATACTATATTGCCGGTGTAACCGACCCATTTTCATATCCGTCTCACCCTCTAACTCTCCCCCACCCCCCCAAATCTCCCGTGTACATTCCCAGTGTGTCTCCCTTCTGCATGGGCCAGAGTCAGCTCGGCCCACTGAGGGTGGCCGCGTTCCGCTACTTTAAGCCGATGCCGTACCTGGCCCAGGTCCACACCGGCCTCTACAAACGCATGCGCTGGAACGTGGTCAGACTCCGGGAAGAGCAGCGTGAGGAGGGGAAGAACGAGAGAGTTGGCGACACAGAGTAGTGAGTCTGGACGATATCGCCACCCTCTTTGTTTGGTTCTACTTTCTCCCGTTTCGACAGCAGACGTTTTACTGCCGATGCACGTCTCACATCTTAAATCTCTCATCGCCGACGTCCCATTCAGTTACTTCCTGTGCTACGAGGACATTCCCAACGCGCACGCAGACGCTGGCGGGGACGCGCGCGTCTCTCACGGCAACGCGGTGAGGACGTGGTCCATCGGCAAGTGGGTGCAGGTGACCCCCGGCACAGACGACATCTACGACTGGTAAACAGATTTACATTACTTCCTACGGTTGCTCTGTGGCTGCTTTTACTTTGAGAGTTTTTAATGCTTAGTTCTCTCTGAACGGATAGATGTGGCCAAAGCAAGACATTCCTCACATGGAATAGTCACATCTTGTGTTTTTTTGCCCCCCCGTCAGGATCATGTGCGAGGTTCCTCAGGCTGACTATCGCAGGCTGCTGTTCCTGGGCAGCGACGAGCCGTCGAGCAGCAGCGCCACGGTCCGCCTGCAGCAGATGCTGTCGTCACACCAGACGGCGGAGTGACGACAGCGACGGTGTGTATGAACGCAGGTACAACGCCCGTCTCTGGGCCGCGAGGTTCCCGGTGGTTTTGGCGGGAGGAAGAACAGCAGGCGAAAGGAAACAGGACCCGTTAAGATCACACAGGGCGGGGCTGTGGAGTCCTCTACAGCTAGTTGATGAGCAGATGTGTCGCCGAGTTTATGAGAGACTCTGCGGTTGAACATCTGGATGTCGGAGCACAAACACCCTAGCTGAAAATCACACGACAAATGTAAAATATGTGATCATTTCTGCCAGACTCATTCAGGGCCCGTTCATTTTTCCACATTTAAAGCAGTTTCTGTAATGCACTGTGACCACTGTTGGTTTCCAAAGCAAAGTTTTATTGTCAAGTAATCGTTTCATGCTGTGTACTGAGGAGTCTGTTTAACTCTTCATGTTTGCTGCACACTATTGTGTCACTTTATTTTGTTCAGTGTGTTAAAAGTGAGATTTTATAAGAGATTGTAAATATTTTGTTACGTTTTTCCAACAGTTCCCACATATTAAGAGTGTTTTGCTGTGTTGTAAAGAAGTCCAGAAACGTGATTTAAAAAAACAAAAGCTTTTATTTACATGAAACATTGCATTGAAATAATTACACACAGACTTCTGTCTTTCAGAGAGTTGAAATAAATGCAAAACTTCACATTTTAAAACAAGCTGCCATGGTTGAGTCGCCCAGTTACTTCAACAGGTTCATCAAGCCTTTTACATCAGCACTCAAAGGCCTCACTTCGTTTTCAATAAATTAATATTTAAAATGTGAGATGTAACATCTTTGAGCCAAGGTAACAAATAGTTTGTTCACTCATAGTTCAGTCTGCTGTGTTCAGTTTGACCGTGTAATCATTCAGCTCCTCAGTTCATTCTGACTGGACGTGAAGAAGGTCATTTATTTAACAACAAAAGGATCAAATCTACCATTTACAACCAACATCCTTCAATAAAAATCTATATCGGACTCTTAAAGGGCTGCTATGCTTCTAAATCTCTAACATACAAAAGTAAAGTGGAGTCTCCTTTCATTACAGTGAACAGTCTTTTCAAACAATGTACACATAAATCTTTACAAAAAGACCACGCGGACATGTTTAAGAAAGCACATTTAAAAAGTCCAGCTTCGTAAAAAAGTAAATTAAAAAAAATGCGTAGTGAGCATAAAGCGTCCTAACCTGGAGGACGGGGAAGCTGCTACTCAGCTGCTACACATGGGCTTCCATTAGAGTTAAATCATCAACCTCTGTCCTAGGAGCCAATCCAGGTTAAAGCACTGGATGCTATATTCATACTGCTTCCAATTCAGTTACTAACCCAAAAATCAGCCCGTATGCCACTGAGCCCCTCATTTAGATGTAAAGTTCCAAGAAACGTTCAGAAATCTACTGAGAAATGTCCGCATCTTTAAACCTGACAAACACGCAGCACCCAGACAACAGACCGACTTCAACACACGGCACAGACACGACCGTTTACAACACGCAGCTCGTCCCAGTTTCAACAAATACACAGTGAACACCCGGCATAGCCGGGTATTGAACCCGACCGCTCTCATGTCGCACAACGAAGGGATCCCTGACCTTCACAGCAGCATCAGTTAAACCCCGGAGGTGGTCGCCATTTTTGAATGTAAAGTGTGTGTAGCCTTCTGCACAAGTGTAGAAGGCCTTGTGCTATTCATGAGTCTGTAATCCCAAACTGAAATCTAAAATGAGAATCTAAGGGAGGCTACACACACGGCTCCAGAGCAGTGACCATAATAAAAAAGGCCTTCAGCAGTATTTCATTTAACCAATAGTCTCTCGACACACAAAAATGCACTGTAATCCCCAACTGAAATCATCTAAAATGAGAATCTAAGGGAGGCCCCACACACACACACACACACACACACAGCTCCAGAGCAGTGACCATAATAAAAAAGGCCTTCAGCAGTATTTCATTTAACCAATAGTCTCTCGACGCACAAAAACGCACACATTTCTGAAAGCTCATGAGTGCCCGACTTCTCTTCCACGTCGTGCTGACCTTTGGTAAAGAACTGTCAGATCCAAACAGCTCAGACTCAGACCACGTGACCCTCCTCATCTCTGAATCCATACATTTATGTGACCTCGTTAGAACTAAAGTGAGATAACCAACCATCGTGTTCAAGCCTCTTAATAATCAACATATTTAAATTGTCACAAATTACAAGACTGAATGGGATTAAGTGCAATCTCAGAATCTTTTGTCGCTGTTCAGTAGCAAGACATCTCCAGTGCAGTCTCATTTTAAAAAGGTGATAAGGATGTGTGTGAACAAACAGTTGTGGCTTCAATTAAAAGGGCTACAGGTGAGGAACACAAAGGGAAACAACAAAAATCTATCAGTCAGTTTACCTTCCATTGATGGCGGCCCTTTGGCACAGTCGGTGTGTGTCCACCCGTTCACAGAGATGAGGTGTACCAAAAAGTGTCCTGTTCCAACCCGTTAGTCAGTAGCAGTGGTGCATCATGGGATACGGTCTGTGTCACATGGTTTAAAGGATTGAAATATAGAGTAGTCAGTGTAGAGTTTCAGTGCGGTGTCACGTTTGTGTTCGTCTACTTGTGTTTCTGTGGCAGAGACGAAACTATAGTTATTCACCGGCAGCACCAGAGACTTTTGCCCTGAGTACAGACTCTCGTTGTAGATGCTGGACCTGCTCGACTGCAACCATAATCCAATCTTCAGCTTTCTTTGTCCTAAATCAAACCCATCCACTCTGTTGGGAGTGGTAGTTAGCCTGAGGGGGAGAGCACTACCGGAGAGTCTCGATTCAGGGCAAGAAAAGTTGTTTACCGTTATTTTTGCATCAATAAACAGCATGCACGCTTGGAGAAACGGCCAACGATTGAACCGCAGCACCACCAAGCGTTCGTATGGTATATGCTTGTTAGAAATCGCTGCCTCTCTCAAGTAAATATATAGCAGTGGTTTCCCAACCTTTTTACCCCTTCGAGCAAAGCTCCATGTGTCACACGTTGCATCCGTCTGCTGGCTGAGAGCAGATCTCAGATTCCTACATTTGAATAATCAAATATATTCAGTAGTTCATAAGAATTCAGCAGTTTAAAAGAAAAAAACAAACAAAAACATAAACAAGCAAAGATTAGAGAAAAGCTTGAAAACCCCATTTTGCTTGGGAACCACTGAACACCACTAGTTTATGCGTGTCCCTCCAGAGCCGGGCAGAATATAAATATAATGGATTTAATATCTTCTTCCTCCTATCGTGGATTTCACTCACCTTCTCTCAGGCTAGCTTTCTAAAATACTTGGTAATGAGTCTAAAACAACCCTTTACCATTCAGTACAATGTGATGGACATCAACAGAGTCATCTAGTTTATCTTCTGAAAAAGATAGAATTTCTTCTAGTTATTGCAATTCCACCCCCCCCCCCCCCCAACATTGCCCAGCCCTTCAAGCTCTCTTCAGCTGTGTGTGTGTGTGTGTGTGTGTGTGTGTGTGTGTGTGTGTGTACACAAACAGACAGCACTCATGTCACTTCCCTGTATGAGTGTGGCTCAATATTTTGAGTGAAATCCCCCCCTCCTCCTCCTCCTCCTCCTCCTCCTCCTCAGTGATGCGTCTCCAGCTCCACCACCGTCCACTCTCCCTGCGGGGAGCTCCCGGTGGCCTCTGGGGAGAAGCTGCTGACGGAGGTGACTGTGGCGGAGGGGGGCGTGAGCGGCGGCAGCAGGCTGGGCCACAGGCTGCTCTCCAGGGGGCTCAGCGTGCCCCCTGCTCCGCCCGGCAGCAGCAGCAGGGACGAGCAGCCGCCTCGGTTCAGCAGCAGGGTCTGCTTGATCAGCTGCTGGACTATGTCCACTTTCTTGCCCCAGTCCAGGTCCAGGGGGGGAGGTCGCTCTGGAGACTCTGGCGGGCCGGGGGAGGAGCTGACTCCATCCTGGGAGGGGTTGCTGGATGTCTTAGGGGAGTCAGGGAGAGGAGATGGGGGGCTCACGGTGGACTGCGAAGAGTCTCGACGTTCGTCTTTGTCCGACGTCACCCTTTCACAGCCGCCCGTCTCTTCATTCGGCGCCTCTTTCCTGGGCCATTTCGTCCCTTTGGTGGGGTTGAGCTCCTTTATTCCCTCCTCTTCCTCCTCTTCGTTGCTGGTCTCCAGGGCTTCGTAGATGGTGCAGAGGCCAGAGGAGGGCGACAGCAGCGCCGTCTGGCCTTTAGTCGACTGTTGCAGCTCTTGTTGCCACTGCATGATCTGCTGTCGCTCCTTCAGTTCCTGTTGTTGCTGCTGCAGCTGCAGCTCAAGGTCTCTCCTCTGCCGATACTCCTCTTTCCTCAATTTCTCCTCTTCCTTCTTCTTCGTCACCTCCGCCTGCTCTCGCATCCTCATCTCCAGCACCTCTTCATTCCTCTTTATCTCCTCCTCGGCCTCGTCTTTCTTCCTCCTCTGCTCCTCCTCCTGCCTCCTCTTCCTCTCCTGCTCGGCCTCCTCCAGCGGCCTGCTCTGTTGATCCCTGCGTTGCTGCATCTCCAGCAGCTGCCTCTGGTGTTGCTCCAGCCTGCGGAGCTGGGGGCTCAGCGCCTTCTGGCCGGGGCTCCTGGGCGGGAGGTCGGCACAGGTGAGCTTGGGCGGGGCTAGGGCGCCGGCGTGAGGATTGACGATGTCGCAATAGCTTCTGGGGTAAGCCGAATGATCGCGGCGGTGAGGGTGCGGCAGCGCAGCGAAGCCTGAGTGCGAGAGGAAGATTACAGTAGCATGATGTCATAAAAACAGGTCACAGGCAGTAGGACAGTGACAGCAGTGCAGTGTGAGTACAAGCAGGAGGATGTAGCTGAAGGAACAGTGGAAGCATTGTGAAGCCCAAAAGGTCTACCAGTAGCCTACAACACCAAACTGACCGGCAGTTATTTGTGGGTTTTTTTTGGTAACAAAGTGACAGTGGGACATTGTTTAAACGTTGTGCAGCAGTGACAGATACAGCCCGCTAAATATTCAGAGGGGTGGAGGCACAGCATTTGTCAAAATGGTGAACACACCAGAAAATGGTGACCTTAGGTCCGGTGACTGGGGGTGGAGGCTGGGGCGAGGTAGGAGGAATTTGTGCAGAGAGCAAATGTGCATACTTATCGGGATTCTTTCCCCGAAAATAAAATAAAAGACACCCAGAAAATAAAGATTTTTGTGTGCAAAAACAGCAGCCAACTTCCTGTATATGCAATCACTATTTACTATGGTGAGACAAACAACCACAGAAAAAGCGCATTGCGAGCGTAAACTGTCTGCACCCGTGACGGGAGTTTATAGTTAGTCAACCAGTGATTCATGCAAAAGCTCTCCATGCATTTATAGACATCCAGCATCACAAGAAAAACCGAAATAATAGCTCGGCTTTAGAAGGAATCCCGTTAAATCAACCAGAGTACATTGAATCCTAGAGCCAAGCTATTAGACTGACCCTGAACAAACCAATCCAAAGTAATGAAAGTCAAGGTGTGCGCAACAGTGACATGCATAAGCATAAGTTAACATGAATACAGTGCAGCGAGAATGCTCATTTAAAAAAAAAAAAAAAAAAAAAAGTAGTAGAAAAGAGCTAAAAAAAAACCAAAACAAAACAAAAAAAACATCAACACACCCTGAGTGGACGGGAGGGGAATTAAAGTAGCTGCAGAAGGAGCGAGGTTCACTTCTTCATCTTGAGGCTGGACAACGAGACGTCAAACTTCTTCTTCTGCTGCTGCTGCTGCTCGAGATGCCGAACTTCACTCACGGATGAGACGGTCTGGTGGTGCTGAAGATCGACTCATGGCGGATCCTTTCCAGTTGTGTTTTTTTTTTCCCCAGACTGATGAAGTCACCGCAATATATGTACAAGTGTCTGTGTGAGTGTATGACAAGAGTGAAGCAGTGACTGAATGTAGGTTATGTGATTGGCTGAGTGGAAGTTATCTGCAATAAAATGGGATGTATGGAGCCACTGGTAAACGAGTAGAAGTGTGTGAGACCTTGAAATGAATGCCGGTGGGTGTTTAAGATCCACAGACTATGATTGTGCCACTCCCAAAAGCCCACTTCAATGAAACTGTACGGTGAGAGAGTACATCATGGTAAAAATCTAATCTTTATTTAAAGTTTTAAAAGGTTCATTACTCCAAAAGATGGATAAACACAAGAAGAAGAAGCAGGGGTACAATTTAAAGTGCAAGAGATGAGGAGTGACCAGGGATAAGGAAGATTGCCTGTATCGTAAGGTAGGGGAGCGAAATCTAACAGGAACATACAATCAAAACTCAGACATCAGTTTTGTTCAGTTTAAAAAAAAAAAAAAAAAAAAAAAAAAAAAAAAAAGGCATGAGGATAAACACACATGTTAAACAGTTCATTCCACATTTCTTTTGTTATGCTCAATTTTCTTGTTTTCCCTCTTTAAGTAAGAGCTGTAAACAGACAACACAGAATCATGTGGTTGTCCTGGACTGGCATGGATTTGACTTTAAGTCAAACAGACACCGAAACCCAGGCACGCTCACACATTAGGAGTACATAGTAATAGCTATTGCACACACAGGAATTTAAGCCATATGCTCATCATGGAAATGTTATATCAGAGGGAAGTGCCACTGCTGTCCTCTTTTTATTTCCCTTTCTTTGTGCTCCGTTTTTTTCATTTATTTATTTTTTTAAACTTTGATTACATCCACCCCTAGAGATTTCAGGACAAACACTGACAACAAGAGCTACAACAGGGAGATATTGTGGGGAGGCTGGAGCGGGGCGTTACTTGGGGAGATGATGATTAACTATACGTTACCTGCAAAAGAGTTCTCAGTCTTTTCACAGATAGAATAGTAGGGAGGCTGCATCTCATCTGGGTTCTCCTCTGCTCGCTGTAAAGTGCTCAGAGTTGACGAAGGGTCCAGGGCTTCCACGGGCCGCGGCACTTCCTCCCCGACACACTCTGCAGACTCCGCCTCCTGCTCCCCACATTCGATGTACTGCTGCTCCTGTGTGTGAGGCTGCAGGATCAGACAGGGCTCCTTGGCCTCCTCGGGCAGCTCCTCCAGGGAGAAGATGCCCGGGCTCCTGATGCAGCTCTCCCCTGTGGACTGGGCGTTGGAGTTCGAGGCCGTGGTCATGGTGTCGAAGCCGTAAGACGCCAACGATGTGGCCGAAGGCGGGGTGGCGTCTTCGCCTGCACCGCCCTCTGCTTGCCCCTGGGTGGCCTCCTCTGCCTCTTCCACGGTGGACAGGCTGCGCTGGGCTGGAGGCTGGCAGTCAAAGGTCATGTGGCCGACCGCAGGACTCTCCAAAGAGTCGTCCAGCAGAGCCTCTCCCTCTGTGTCACTGGCCTCGTCATCCGTTACCGAGGTCGAGGACGGGTTGGAGGTGGGGGACGTTGCGGGGCCTCCCAGGACTTCGTCAGCGGGCAGGGTCCGGGCCTCTGCTTCCTCTCCTCCTTCCCGGTCGAGGTCGGGCTGTGGGGAAGGAGCCGGCGCGCGCACATCTCGAGGCTGCGGCTTCCCGTCTCGGTTGTAGTCACAGAGTTCCTCTGGCGTGCTGGTCTCGCTGCTCAGGGTGCTTGACAGAGACATTCCTGGTGCCATGGTCTGCATCAGGGCGGGGTTGGACTGATCCATGTCCATCTGGGCCTCTACACTTTGGGGCTCCTCTTTGACAGCGGAGCGATGGGGAACTTCTTGGTTTTCAGGATCAACAGGACCCGAGCTGAGTTCTAGCCAAGCTTGGGCCTGGGTCTGAGTTGGGGTCTCCGGGTCCGCTTTCCAGGGGGCTGCCAAGGGGCTTGCTGCAGCCGCTCCTGCCACCTGTGTGGGCTGGGAGGCGTGCTCGAGGTCCTGCTGTGACTGAAGAGGATTTGCCCAGGGGTCAGCAAAGGGGTTCGGTTGGTCCCACTGAGCAGCCAGGGCGGAGGGCAGCAGAGGGGGGGGCGGGGGCTCGGCCACTCTGTTCAAGTTGTCCAGCCTTTCATCCTCAGCGAAGTCGTCCTCATCTGCATTCCCGTAGCTTTCCAGCCCACTCTCTGTCACCCCCTCACTAGCCATCTCCACATCTTCATCATCATCATCCTCCTCCACCTCCTCCTCCTCGTCGTCATCATTAACGTCGTTGTCATGCCTGGGTCTCGGAGGTTCGTCCGCCCGCTCTGAGCCCACATCCATGTCACACACCCGGTCGTCGTCGTCAAAGTCGTCGTCATCATTAGCCGGTATGTCAGGAACCTTCTCAAAGTCCGGCGAACCTGCCGAGGCCCCCTCCATGTCGATGGCTCCTTTCAGACTGCCGTCTCCCAGGTCATCCATGCTCTCCGTGCCCTCCAGGACACCGGGGGCACTCAGCTCAGACGCGCCCTGCTGGCTGCCACTCACCTCCTCGGAGTCCAGCTCGGAGAGCAAAGCGCCACCCGCCCTCCAAGCGGACCCTCCGACTGGTCCGGCGGACCCGGGGCGAGACTCCTCCGTGGGCTGTGTGGTTCCACTCATTTCAGACACGGAAACCAGCTGGCTTCCTTCCCTCTCCTCTTCATCATCCTCCTCATTTAGATTGCTGTGAGGAACTATTAAAGGGATGGCATTCACTGCTGCTAGGAGGGTCTGAGACAGGGAGGGGGTTTGGTTCGTTAACAGGTAAACAGCCTCCTCGGATAGACCTGGAGGACAACAGGCCACTGGTGGTAATGCAGGCTCAGCTGGGGCAGGGGTCTGCTCCTGCGTCGTTAGTGAGGGAGCATTGCTCTTTCGCTGCTCCTGGGCTGGACATGTTTGTGGTAAGGCTGTCCTGACAGGGCTTTGAGGGGGAGAGCAAGCGGCTGCATGTCTTTGAGCGGTCTGTTGAGGTACCACATCTGGCGTGGTGTCCTGGGCCAAGACTTGGGGAGGGTCGTCCTCTGGTGCGGAGGCAGCGAGGGATGATGCTTGTGGGAGAGACTGTGTAGTCTCGGTTTGTGATGCTGCTAGCACAGTCGCTGCTGTGGCACCTGTTGCACCTGCAGCTCTCTGAGCTTCGACAGCAGCTTTGGTAGTATTTGAAACCCCCGTCTTCTTTGTAGCAGTGAAAGGTGGGACAGTCTGAGTGGGCTTGGTTCCACGTTTCGCCTGAGGGGTGCCACGGTTTGCAGGTTTGTTGACTGGAGAGGCAGGTGGGGTTCGACCATGGGGCTGCCTGTTGTGGGTGGAGGACCAAGCAGCCGCTACAGGTTTCTTTGAGGGAGTAGATCTCGCAGGTTGCGAAGGTTTGGACTGTGGCATTTTGGGGTCTGCTGCCTTCTCGGGCGTGGACCCTTTGGAGGTGGAGTTGAGCTTCACGGTGGCTGTGGGTTTAGATGGTTCAGGTTTTTTGGTAGCAGTGGATGCTGTAGCAGGTTTCTTTGCCACCGCAGAAAGTGGTCGACTGACATCTGGTGCGAGAAGAGAAAAAACAAGAAATGTCAGTTCACCCAATTTGATTCATTGCTGGCAAGTCAACCACTTCTTGCTACTTTACTGTGGACATTTTAGATTGAAAACTTGAAACTGTATGTTATCCAAATGTAAATGGAACGTGGTTTCAGAAGATGGTCTCCTGGTCGGGACAAGGTGCAACGCCTCACCTTTCTTTGCAGCAACAGCTTTAGGAGGCTGTGCCGCTGCGGTCCTGCCTGTAGAGGGTGCTGTGGTGACTCTGGAGGCAGTGGTTTTGACAGTTGCATTGGTGGGGGGCTTGACTGTGGATGTGGTGGGCCTGGATGTGGTGAATAAAGGTCGAGATGTCGAGGGACCTGCAGCAGGCCTGGAGGAAGACGAACAGAAACCTCCAGTTGGCACACAAAAAAAACAAAAAACTGAACAAAAACAAGACGTTGCAGCTTAATTTCTGTCGCGCAGTCGCTTCGTTGGCAAAGATCCAAACATGAAATCTGATGCTCTGCCTCTACAAGCATAAATAAATGGGCTCTGCTAATGTAAACCACTAAAGCGATTTCAACAATGGGAGCCCATTAAACACAGAACCATCCATCTAATGCCACTAATACCTCCTTCATTCTCCAATGAATTAAAAAAGGCAAGGACATGGTGTAATGAGGAGGAGAACAACAGGAAGAAAGAAAAAAAATAGAAAGATGGAAGAGGAATGGAAAACTTGAATTGGAGAAGAATGAACTGAGACAACAAACAGTGACGGGGGAAGAGAGGGAAAGAGTTGCAGGAGCCGAGGGTACCGAATTTAAAAGCGAATGGTTAGCAGAATGCAAAGACAACAAGAGAGTAACAAGAAAAAGGAATTAAGGTGACCAAAGAAGAGGAAGGAAATGCAGGACAGTGGAAGCATATGCTTAAAAAGAGGAAAGGGAGAGATCAGCTAAGAACACATACAGCAGGTGGGGGAGGAGGGAAGACTTAAAATCAATCTCGTTTGAAGCTCCTGGTCTACTACTCCGTCTGAAGGCGTTCTTGTACTAATCCACTCAATCACTACAACTGCAGCTACAAGGCAGAACTCCTTTAGCCGCTTCCTCTCCTAGACGAGCAAAAAGGATTCAAAGTGTGCTCTGCCCTCAGCACCGACACACCGTGGACTGCAGCCTTCAACATCTACAGTAAACGTTGGTTCACTGAGCAAATTTTAACCCATCTACATGTCAAAACTGGCAAAAAAAAAAAAAAAAAAAAGGACTAAACCCCGTTAGGTTTATAAAAGACTTCTTAAATCTTCAAATTAAGAGTTCGGCAGGGGTGTAAAACAGACCTGAACCCGGCCAATCCCTGCATCTTTAACACCATGTCCGACTGAATCGGATGGTTCTGACATATTTTGGCCATGTCGCCCAGCCCGAGGCTAACGTAAGCGTTGGCTATACGCCGTCTCTTTCCCTCTCCCCAATGGAAATTGCCGACTCAAATCTGGTTGTTACTCATTATACGAGCAGGCTCAGTTGACTTGCACAGAAAGTAAAATCGTTAGAAAACCACATAGGAAAATATCCAACCACGAACCTCATCCAGGCCCATTATGCAACAAAAAACCCTGAAGCCGAAACTTTATACTTTTGTTGTGGCTCACCAGGTTGGGGTCTGGAAGCAGAACTCATTCCTGCAGTCGTGGTCGAGTTTGTTAGGAACCGTTATGAAGACAATAAAATCTATAGTTTCATGATGAAGTGGTTGGATCTCCAGACACACATCTTCTCATTGCTTCACTACAAGAGAATAATTGAATTGCTCCACCATTCGTCCATATGAGAAACTTGGAAACATGTGAAGGACAAAATCGGACCAAACTAAAATAGGGTGTAGAGGGCAATGGAGGCCAACCTTTCCAATTAACAGCCAACATCTTTGCAGTATTAAGCAACGTAGCGCATGTAATGTAGTTGCAGGGTTCTTGTGTACAGAAGCAAGACTACGACTATGTTCTACTAACAGTCCCGCTCTGAGCGGATCAGAAGTATGTCCATGTGCCGACACATTGTTAGGATTCAATTTGAAGAGTGAAAGTGATTCTTCGGCGACATCTGCGCACCAGAATAGAAAGGTGCAGTGATATCAGCAGCAGTAACCTGTGCTGGACTGCAGCTGTACTCAACCACTGGGCCAAATATGTGTCACCAAATATTTTTCGGGTTATTTAAAAAAAAGATTCCACATGAAAAAAAAACAACATTTCAGGCAGGTCAAGCGGTCAGGCCCTCATTTCTATACTTGAACTGTGTGCAAACGCAATACAAAACCTCAGCACTGAGCACAATTATTAAATATGCCCGTTTCTATTAAAACTGAATCACTTTCACAACAACCAAGCGCTCCATAATCAAATTTAACTGCCTTAAACTGGACGACCTCACCACTAATTACAACAGTCCCCGTTACGTCTTCTTGTTGTCTGCCGACATGGTAGATGATGTAAACACAAACTGACAGACACAGACTTTGACGGCTTCTAGCGGAGTTGCATGCCGCTCCCACATTACAATAACCATTAGTTCCCCCAGGAGCAGACATGGACTCATTGGAATACTGTAATAAGCTGCCATCGGGCAGGAGATTTGGGTCGTAATGTGAAATGGAAGTGTGTCAGACACTGACGAAATCGGCCCCGAGTGAATGTTGGGTAATGAGAAGAGCAGAAGAGATCCAAACTGTAAGACGGAAGGAAAAGGGTTTACAGGTATTAACTTTTAAGCAGAAAAACAATAACAGGATGGGGGGTGGGGGGGACGGGAAAGGTGAATTAATTGAGGGCGTTTTCATATCTACTCTATCGTACCACTCCATCATGTCCGCCTTGATTCCTGAAGTAATTGAGCGAATTAATCTCTCTCTGGGTAGAGTGAGTGGGACTGAAGGATGAAATGAAGATAATAAAGAGTTAAGGGATGAGAATGAAGAGGATGACGGGAGGTCACAGAAACATAACCCCCACCCCTCCATTGTTTTATGAGGAGTCATAACTTGTAAAAAAAGGGTTTGATCCAGAGGGACGGCACAGAGAGGAGAGACGACCCACTGAAGCCGGTGTAGTCTTCACACACTGCCTGTGGCTGCTGGTTCAGTTGTTGGTGTATTCATATGGATTACATTTCCTGCCGGCAGAGGGTTGAAATCGATACAAATCACAGTCCAAAGGAGGGATGAGAGGCACTACGCGGCCATTTATGGGATGTCAACGACCCAACACAATGTCAGCAGAGGGACAGGTCACTGCTGCACTTTATGGACAGTCTTTGTTTCACAGACAATATTCTCAAATGTTTACGACAGATGCAACAACACGCCCGTGGTATTAACATGCTGAGCAGCTGCAACATCTCTCGGCAAACCCGCTCCTGTAGATTTAATTATTCTGCTTTAATCAAGCCAAAGAGAAAGGAGAGGGCATGGCCAGGAAGAAACTTTATCCCAGCCACAGTAAGCTCATCCTGCAAATAAAATGCAGTCCAACTACACATTTTTCTCTCCTTGCCGATTACTTCCCCCTCATCGCTTCAAGGGCCCCCTTCCAAGACAACACATGGAAATGGAGCACCCCAACAATACCTTGTTTGGCTTGTACGCCGTCCAAAACTAGCTGCTTTACTCCTTCCCCGAGAGGAGCACACATTCCTAGGGTTTGTGCGGGCCTACAGTTATCTCCTTGACGATACAGAGCGGCCATGGCAGACAGTGTTGGCTCCTATGAGGCCCAGGGCACCCGCTGTCACTGTGATAGACACCATGGGGCTTTTCCGTTAGGACAGTAATCCTCCTGACCGAGTTGGGGAGAAATGACAGCTTTAGATCCAATGGGACCAGACGGAAGTAAACGGGAGATGAGAGGGGAAGAGAAACGGGAAGAACGACAGGATAAAATTCAGGCAAATTCTATTTTTTGTGTGCAAATTTGATAAGCAAAAGCAGCCCATTTAGTTTGAGAATTAAGGAGGGAGCATTCTGTATCCGAGGGACCACGAAGCACCATTACCACCAGCAACTCTGTCCATTCCCAATGGGGATCCTTTGAGAATACACCGTCTCACAGATCGCTCAACATCATAATCACCGTCCTCCTTGTGTTACATAACCACACTCGGAATTTTACAGTCTCTGAATGCAGCTAAATGATGAATGAGTTAGAAATATGGGGACAGCTCGCATGAAGTTGGGCTGTAAGGAGGGCTTGAGGAAATCCTGGCCAAATGCCCAGCACTGTACATGCACAGACGGCAGAAAGGATGAGGGGGAAGAGAGGGGAGAAGGAAAGAGGGGGTCGGGGTGGACAAAGACTGATTGCTCAGTCGGTGCAAGGACACCATAACCCATCGTTGGAGGAGGAGAGCAAAGCAGGTGCCAGATTTTTATTTTACAACATTTGGCTTCTACTCTCGTTATCAAGCGTCCTCATCGACCACTGACGCACCCTCCGGGACCCAACCATTGTTTGGGGTGGGTGGAGGGGGAAGGAAAGGAACATTGGGTATTTACGGTCAATCCCAATGTCCCTAGATCAATAGCTCAATAGATTTTAAAATAAATCTAAATTATATTGGGTGGGGGGAAAAAAAAAAAAAAAAAAAAAAGAGAAAATTGAGGGTTTGTGCTTAACATGCATGTGTTTTTTTAGTTACATACTTTAAGTAAGAAACCATTACTGCCTTTTCTATACTTCTATCAGATCTCACTCCCACCATACCGAAGCACAAATCCCATCTCCAGGAGGTGAACGCAAACACCGAATGAGGCTTTAGTAAACGTTAAATCATTTACTCCAATATGCTTCTATCCCTCCCTTTGGGCCAATGGAAATTAACACTTCAACATAGTGTGTTGTGTACGTTGGGCTGACCGTCTATACGGTTTACCTGCTGAAATTTGAAAAAAATGTTAATGTGCGTTCCTGTGTGACAGTTTGGGCAACAATGACTGCTGTGGTCTCCACAACATGAGAAACAACAGGGCGGGGCTGGAATGATAAAGACGTGGCTGCATAAGTACAAGGAAGAAGCTAAATAATCTCATTAGGTAGTTCGCCAAATCCTTTAACACCATTTAATACTGTTGCACGTATTGCTACAGATTATTGGTGCCATCGTTCTCAGTGTCGTGACTAACGCAAGTCAGCGCTTGAGCTGAGAGGAGGTCTGTTTCTGTGACTGTCCGACTCGCAAAATGCTGACTGAAAAGCACACGACTACCGCTGTTGTACACAAAAGGATTCAACACGCCACCGACTTTGTCGTCACGTGCAGGTGGCACGAAATGCAACACGCTTCGTCCGCCACAAGCCGGGAAACAGTCAGAGGGATGAGGGGCCTCTGTAATCAGACTCCAACACTTGAAACGTCTCGTCTGATTAATTCAGAGGAAGAGGACTCCATGTACACACACCTACACAGAGAGTATAAAACATGAATAGAAACCACTCCCTGCTAACAAATCATCAGCTCAAAGTGGGCGTGGCTCCAGAGATTCCATCTTTAACAGTTACAACTGGAAATTTGGGGTGGGCATTTTATCGACTGACCAACAAGTTTAACAATAACGAAAAGCAAAATAAGTGTTTGCTTTCAGCCTGAGGATTGTTCCCTCGGTAAAACAGGAAATTGGCCATTTTATTTTATTTCTTATAGCAACGAAAGAATCCAATGACTCTGCTGCTTCAGAAAACCAAGCGACGCAGCACATTGTTCCTTTATTTAATAAACGATCATCAAGAGGAGACGAGTGGAGAGATAATCCGATCAGGCCACTCAGTACAGAACACTACATCCTGTAGAAAGACAGTGGAGCGGTGGATCTGACGCTCCATAACGGATTACTTTATTTAAACAAATGCGATCACATCAATGAAGTTCAAAACTTTTAAATCACATTATTTGACAAACATTTGAAGAAACCACCAACTGCTAATTATGTTTGGCAACATATAAGACATTTTTTTAAAAAGCCTCTACAAACAAAAGCTTCCTCGTTGAAATGGAAGTAAATGATTATGAAATTCTGCCAAAATGATCATTTGAGAGCAGTTTACTCCAACTAGATCCCACGTTATCCAAACCACCAGCTCAGTATGAGAGGGATTATGACCCGAGTCAATAGCTCTCTGCCCCGGGGAGGTAGGGCTGGTGTCTGCCCGGGGGTCTGTTTGGAACAAAGCGGTAGTTCTTCAGTATCGCTGCCTCTGTTAAGGCCCCTCTGTCTCAAGTTATTTCTGCTAACATGACTCACACCCTTCAAGCGAAATCTGACTCAATAACGGCCCCAAAGACCACAATGGACATCCTTCTTCATTGCCCTCTTTCGGGCCATTAAGATAAACTAAGTCACCCCTCGTCCAGTTTGTAAGGGGGATTAAAGAGTTCAGATCTCCGGGGGGGGGGGGGGGGGGGGGGG